CTCACCTAAGGCAACTCAGTGGCTGCCAGGGTGGCCAGGGCAGGGAGTGATGGCTAATGGCCTGGCGTTTGACGTTGGGGCAGGTTTTAGAATTAGCAGAAGTGATGACAGCACAATGCTGTGACTGTGCAAACTACCACTGAATTGCTCACTTCCAAATGGCTAGTTTTATGTTCTGTGAACTTTACCCCTATTTAAAAAATGAAAAACAGCTGCCTTGCAGAGAGGGCCTGGGGTGGGTTGGGGCACAGGGGCAGGCCCTGGAAGAGGCGTCTCAGCAGAACCCTAAAAGTTGAAGTTCTGGGCAAGGGAAACAGGTCAGAGGCACTGGTGAGGCCAGGACAGAAAGCTAGTGTGGCTGACTTGCTGGGCTGTCATCTACAGAGCAGAGGGGAAAGGAGAGCTGGAGCTCAACCTGGGTGGAGGGGCAGCCTGCATAGGACAGGCCACCAATGAGGGGGTGGACAGCAGGGTTAACAGGGCTGATGGGAGAATCACCAAGCCCCATCAGTGAAGCCAGTGGACATCCCCTGCCTTGTGGGTCTGCTCTGGGAGCTCCGAGCTGCATTCTTTCAGCCCTCCTATCCCACCTCCCCCACAGGCAAGCACCTGTAAGCGGCCTCCACACAGTCTCTGGAAGTAGCCTCTGAACTAGAAGGGGCCCAGGAGTGAGAATGCTGCTCTAGAGTTAAGAGTCCTGGCTCTCCAAGTGGAGGCTGCTGCCCAGGACACCCAGGGTTGCTGCCAGGGAAGAACTTCTGCTCCAGGGTCTATGAGGCCACCTGGAGTTTATGGGCTCATCTTGGACATCCTGCTTGCCATGAGAGATTCCGGAAGGTAGGGACAACTAGGGCAGTAACCCCAGGAGCACAGCACTCTAGGCTGTGAAGAGATCAGACTGGAGCTTAGACCTGGCCACATGCTGCTAGCCACCCTTGCCCCTCCCTCCCTGTCCAGGTATAGTCACAAGTCTCTGCTCCTGTGGAGACCAGAATGTGGGCATGAGCATCACGAACACAAAACAGGCCAATAAATAGAATTTGTGATTTCTCACTAAGCCAAATGGAAGAAGAACAACACACCAGAGTGGCCAGTCACCTATTAGGCCTGATTTATGCTCTACTTTGGTATCTCTTCCAAGGAAATGAAAGGTATATTTTCATCAAGTGTAATCATTTATAGCTTCTGAAGGAGAGATGCTCTGCTCTGTGACAATTACCTGGACAGGCAGCTAAGATGGGAAAGACGTGCCCTAATAAAGCAAACCCCAAGCAGGCATCCCAGGCATGCAGCCAGACTTGTTTTCTTCCTTGTGAATTACTCCCAGGCGGAGGCAAGACTCCCACAGGGCCTAGGGTTCTGCAACCATGTGGTCTAGTCTATAGTGAGGGACACCCTTCTGGAAGGTGGGGAGGAGTCATGTCCAGTGTCCTCAGGCCCCCAATGGCAGCTGTGGACGTCAAGCTTCTGGTGACCAGCTCTCCCACCCCTGCCCAGCTCCCATTCAGCTTCTGCAGAAGTGAGTAAGGTGGGGACAGTAAAATTCCACGATGCGCAGCTGAGTCAGACTTTCACCTGGGTGCATCTGCCCTGGCAACAGAAATTAGTGGAGGAATGCTGCATCAGGTCATCTGGAGTCTCAGTGAGCCTATGTCCCCGTCAAAGCTCACAAACTCAAACTCTAAATGTCTAGGGCCCCAGGGGAATGTCCTTGTGTTTCTGGTGTCTAGATAAGGGAAAGGCCTTTGAAGGGATCTACTCTAAGGCTATCATAGAAGAACCTCACTTTGCATTCAACAAATACTGAATGAAACCACAGTGGTAAGCACAGGGGTATAGTGGTGAATAGGATAGACTAGAGTGCCACACAGTGACCTTCACCTCAGGGGAGAAAGGTCAGGGCTGGGTATTCAAATATACCAGGTAAAAGTCTGCAGTGCCATGAAGACAATAAACAGGCTGATATGGTGGGGGGAAGGGTGCAACTGTGGCCAGGGGGTGATGAGAAAAGGCACACATGCTGGGTTTGAGCACTGAGCAGTAGTGGGAGGCAAGGATATCCTGTGCAGAGGCCCCGAGGCAGCAAAGGTTCTCAAGGTGTACTGGGGAGTCCCTATGTTCCTAAGTAGAAGAAAGCCTTCCCAAGGGTGTGCTGAAACGCTTGCAGAGGCATCACTACAGACTGAAGGCAGTGCAGAGAGGAGGAGCCAGACTCCAAAGGGATTTGCAAAAATATAAAACTATTTTTTTGTTTTAGAAAAGTTATCGCTTTTAGAAAAGCCATGCTTTTATGTTTTTATACAATGGATTTATTAGGCAATTATTAAAAGCATTTCCAGTGTTATTTCCAATGCCATGAACACTGATGGCCATAACACACACACACAAGCTGTCTGGGTTCCATGTCTTCTAGGAACCTGGAGCAGCAGGGGCTGCTGTAGCTGGCCAGGGAGCGGTGTGAGCTTGGATGGGGCAGGGGCTGGCCACTTCTCAGTGGGAGATCAGAGGAGCGGTATGGATTTGCTCTAGTGCCGTGAGAAAGTACTGGAAGACCACAGGAAGGAGGGAGGCAGGGTCTGATCTAAGTTCTGAGGGGAGGAGGCGGTTGTGGTGGAGGGAGTTCTGGTGGTAGGCATGGTGGGAGGAGAACCGAGGATGGCTCTGGATGCCGAATGGCCATTTCCTGAGGCCCAGATGCTGAGATGGCAGTGGTGATGTGGCGGCTGCTGTGGTTCTCCCTGCCCAGCATCCCACACTCACCCTGAGGAGGCACGGGGTTGCTGTGTGCTCTTCAAGCCCCCGCTCTAGTGCCCAATCTCAGCATGAGGGCAGTGAGGCCTGCCTCCCAGGGGACAATAAAAAAGCCCAGCCCTGGTCTCCCCACACCTCCCGGCACTTCAAGGGGGAGACTCAGTCAAGATCTGGATGCCACCTTCAGCAGCTCCCTGTGGCATGCTGCAGCCTCAACAAGCACAGCCTCACACAGTTGTGCCAACCAGCCCTGCCTGGTGGACCCAGGCCCTGGAGTGGGCTACGCAATCTGCACCTGATGACCTCACAGCTCACCTGGAAGCCTTGACAGGTGGGAGAGGTAGGGAAGAGGGCATGGAACCTGATCCTGCAGCTGCTGAAGAATGCAATGCTGGCACTGTGTTCACAGTCCACCTTGTTCCAGATTAGAGCAGAAATGAGGTCTAGGCTCTCCTTCTGCACCAGTAAGTTCCAGAACTGAGAGCTCAATGACCCAAAGCAAGAATTTCTTACCAAACTGAGCTGTATTTAGCTGATCTAGACTCACAGGTGTAATTAATGGTCACTACAAAACTCTTTTTTTTCAGTACTGGGGTTTGAACTCAGGGCCTACACCTTGAGCCACTCTACCAGCCCCGTTTTCTGTTGGGTTTTTTTTGAGAAAGGATCTTGCAAACTACTTGCCCCAGCTGGCTTTGAGCTGTGATCCTCCTGATCGCTACCTCCTGAGTAGCTAGGATTACAGGTGTGAGCCTCCGGCACCCAGCACTCCAAAACTTTTAACAAGGTGCACTGCAGACCCTGGAAGGGCAGGAACAGTGCACACTGCCTAGTGGCTGCCATCAGCCTTGCAGACTAGGATTGACCTTTAGAACAAAAACACTCCCAGGTTGTGGGAGTGGGGGCACTTCTGATAGACAGCACATTAGAAGAGCATCTGTCAAGATTAATAACCTTCCCCTCTGACCTGGCAGATCCACCACTAGGAATTTACCCCACAGACATGCAGGATTCACACAATGACAAAGACACCCCAAGGGTGTTCACAGTGACACTATAAGAGCAAAACATAGGAAATGACCCAAATGTCAATCGACACAAAACGGTTGTAAAAGATGCTTTTGCTCATCTGTACACTAGAACACTACGTGACAGTTAATCACAATGAAATCAACATATGTGCTAATATGTAACACTGAGGAGGGCACGAAGGGCAGAGTGAGGTGCAGTGTCACACACATGGTCTCACAGAATCACGCGAGAACATTCCTAGCACACAAATAAACATCTCTGGAAGACGGTAAGAGAAACTGTCAACAGTAGTTACTTCTGGGGCAAAGTAGCCTTATCTTTCATTTATCATGTCTTGTTTGGGTTTTTAAAAATCATAAGCCTACAGTAGGAATACATATATATACATATCTGTATATAAAATCATCCTCTGATTTGATTAATTTATCTCACATGTGATGTACATGTCTACAGGAGATGAATTAGTCAGGTTGAAGGATGGAAGTAGAAGGGAATCCCAGGGAACGAGGACCTGACTGGGGCCGGCTCTTAGAGCTACACCACTTTGGAGAACTGGCGACTCTTGCCATTCAAGCTGGAGCCCTGACCATGGAGGGTGAGGGCGGGGGAGCCTGGCCAGTGTGTACATTTTGTAATGGAGAGAAAGTCTCTCTTTCTCTCTCTCTCTCTCCAGGGACATTGGATCAGGCATTGGATTCACTTAGAGCCTGCATGTCAAGAAGGAAGGAGAGCCACTTTTCTGGAGAAGCAGCTCCTTCACTTTGCCAAAGTGACCTTGAACTTTCAAGTTCCCTTTTGGGGGAGGTCAGGAGCTGACAAAAGTGGGAAGAGCTGTTCCAGATGGAGGAGATGGACAGCCTGTGGGCAGCTGGCCTTCCTCTCAAGTCTCACTTCTTCAAGGTTTGGGCCAGGAATCAGACTATCTCTATCTTCTCACCTTCCGTGGAGGGAAATGGCTCTCCCACAAGCTCGTTACTAGTAATTTAAGTATTTCCAAGAAACTCCTTGGTCGTAATTCTGAGAAGTTCCTCCACATGCCCAAAAAATCTCTGGAAAACCAAAGCACAGATGTGGACCAGCAGAGGAAAAGGAAGACAAGACTGCTTTGGAGCTGGTGCTTAACTTGAGCTGTGCCTGACACATTCAGAGGCAGATACCTCACAAGGACAAGATTCTGAGGACGGTCCCCAGGCCCTACCAGGAGGGGGCCAGCTTACCTGGCACCTTGTCCACAGATGCAAACACGGAGCGCTGCACTGTGGGGTCGCTGCTGCCCCGGCGGCCCTGGCTGTAGAAGCGGAAAGGCAGGTGCTGGGAGGAAGAGGAGGCGCGGAATCCAAATCCCAGGACTTCGGCTGTTGGCTGGATTGGGAGGTCCAGGAGTGCTTTGATCAAACAACATCATAACACATTCTTAGCATGTGCGACAAGGGACAGGTAAGTGATAGGAGCTGTGGTCCTGCTAGTCACTTGGGAGATGCAAACAGACTGCCTTGATGTGGGGAGACCAGAACACTGATGATCCTACTGAGGCTCAAAACACAAAACACAACCAGGTATCTAGTGAGAGTTTCAGGACAAAATTGAGACTAAGAAGGGAGGGGTTTTAGACCTGGTTCTTGGAAAGGAATGGATCCAGGGCCAGTGTTCACTTTGGAACTTAGGTTTCCAAAGTCTCTTGGTAAGAGACCCATACTAGGCAGGCATGGTAGCATGTGCCTATAATCCCAGCACCTAGGAGGCTTAAGGCAGGAGAATCATGAGTTCCAGGCTAGACTGGGCTACACAGTGAGACTCTGTCTCAAAAAAATCCAAAAAAGTAACACCCTCCACTCCACACCACCCACAAAAGGAAAAAAAACAGAAAAAGACAAAAGACCCTTATTAAGGACTTAGCTGCTGGGGCCATTTCAGAGCCTGAAGTGAGGACAGCCAATTCTACCCTGCAAGACACACATACACAGGCATACACGTCTCTACCTACCTCAGTGGCTCCCCAGGACCTGCAGGGGATGGATCCTGGGACCCCTCAAGTAGCTGCTCAAGTGCCCTAAGTGACGTGATGCAGTACTTGTACACCTCCCCAAGCTTCTAATCACCAAATACCAGGTGTCTCTGGAAACAGCTGTCATGCTGCATGTTTACAGAGTAGTATCAAGGAGAGCGTCTGTCTGTGTTCAGTACAGATGTTTCTCTGAGTGTTGATGACCCCTGGGTGGTTGATCCATGCGTGTGTAGCCCACAGCCTGCAGATTTGGAGGGCTGACTGTGGGTGCACACGGGAAGGCATGGGAGAAAAAGAAGCTGTATGTGTGTATTTATGACCATGTGTTTACATTTCACAGCCGCTATCCTCCATTCCATAAACAGGTCTCATGATCTATCTGTTCAGAGGGGCTTTTTAAAATCAATTTAAGAAACACCCAACACGTTAGCTCTAACAGCCACTTTATAGCACGATTCTCAATTTTCAAATGAAATATCTGCTCCTCATGCCAGCTGTAAAAAATAAATCTTAAAAGAAAGGGCTGAATGATTTAAGTCACTTTGCACATTACAAAATGCTTCTGTAATGGCTCTGTAGGCCAAGTTTCAGCTAAATGAAAAACAAGGAAGAAGATGACATGGGACACAGGCTGGCACCAATCAATGAGGCATGCACAATAAGCCACTGCACTCACTCTGTCCAGCACCTAGTGCCACAGTGTTTATTTTTAGGTTGTCTTTTGAGAGAGTGCCCCTCCTGGCCTAAGAGTGGTTGGCAGCCCTCTCTTCTCAGCAGCCATTCACAGGGACCACTGGTGCCCGAGCTAAGGTGCTGGGAGTCCTGAGGGAAAGGCAGTAGACAGTTTTAGGAGTTGACAGAAGCTCCCCCACTCCAAGACACTGCCCTGGCTTCCATCCCATGAAGGAACAGAACACCTCATTTGAGCACCTTTACTAAGAAAGCCTGGGCCTTCCTGACACTGGAGCTTCCTCCAAGTTCACCACAATCCCTGTGAAATAGAAAGTGACTTCCGAATTTGGTGCTGGGTTATGGCCCCTTGCCAAGCAGGGCTGCCTGTTCTGTGAGCTGGAAGGAAGGGGGAAGGGCGAGTTTTAGAGAAGGCAGTTCTGCTGGGTCAAGGATGGAGCTCAGTGGCAGGGCATGTGTGAGGCCCTGGGTTTCACTGTCAGCCCTGAAAAAACAAACAAACAAAAAAATCCAAAGCAAAACAACAACAAAACAAACACTGCATTGGGTTCTGCCAACTTGTTGGCTGTGTGACTCTGGCAAGTCACTAAACTTGTTTCCCCCTCTATAAAAATGGTCCTGTAAAGAGGTCCTGTAAATCTCAGGGGTTTTGAGGATCTAAGGTGGGAGAGGAATGTCAAAGATTTGCAACTGTGAGCACGACAGCGTGTGTGTGTGTGTGCGTGTGTAGCCAAGCATACTGTCCTTCCCCATAAAGCACAGTGAGTCCTGACTATACAGGTCCTCTCCCATTGGAGCCAGAGGATTTGTGCAGGTCAGCATGCGGAGCACGAGACAGCCAGTGCTAGGGCCCGCCATCACACTTACCGGCTATCCTCTGCATCTTCATGCGTCTTGCCTGCATGCGGCCCGAGACCAGCCGCTGCTTGGCAATGATGCAGCGGATGTTGTCAGAGAAGACAAAGGTGGCCTGGAGGATGGGGAAGGGCTTGGAATGGGGGCTGGCCGCGGGCTTGTGGATGGTGATGTTTAGGGCACGGCTGTCATCCTCCACACCAACCACCTCCATGTCCTGCACAGCGAGGAGGCAAAGGCAAGGGTGCTTGTCAGGCTTGGGGGAGGACAGCTGCTCGGAAGCAGTGGCGTGGATCGGGGGGAGCATCCTATCTAGAGAGAGGCCCCCAATTTGATTCTGCTTTTGCTGTGAAGGGGACCATCAGCGCCCTAGTCTGAGAGAGCCAAGGATGGGCATAAACCAGCCCAGGCCCAGTGGGAGAAGACGGGGCAGGAAGCAGAGTGCTCGAAAAGAGCCAACATTGGGTATGGTGGCTGGTGCCCACTTCCATGAAGACTCGGGAACTAGTGAACAAAAGGCTACACTGGTCTCTTCAAGGGACCACTGGTAACTCAACAGTAAACTCCAATAATTCTTTCTCAGCAAACTAAAATCCCTACTACCCTGTGGCATGAGTGCAGGCAGAGTCACTCGTCTACTTGTTTCTCTTAAGAATAGGGCATCGTTTTAGCATACTTTAGTACATCTCTGAGGAAGGACCAGGGAGCGAGGGCACTTTCAGAGATCTCAGGAAAGCTCCCTGGGAAAAGTGTAAAAGAGACAGACAAGCAGCAAGTGAGTCCAACTGACAGCCTGAGATTCTGCTTCCCCCACAGGCTCGAGGGAATGGGAGCCAGCCCCAAAGGTCAGCAGTGCTAGAGGAGAGGCATGCTGAAAAAGGCTTGCAAGGGAATATGGTTACGTTCTGAGGCATCACATTCGGCTCAGGCTCTTTGGAAACAATGCCAGCGAGCATTAGGCAAGGCTGGTAGGAATTGAAAGCAGGGAGCCTGACATGCAGTAATGACCTGGCAAATGGTAAGTACTGGGTGGCGCACACGTATAATCCTTTGGGGTAGACACCTCCCTGACAGTGAATTCTAAGGGAAACTCATCATGAGTCTGGATAAATAAGAAGTGAAGTCACCTCATAGACAACGCCTTACATGCAAGTCTTTTTTAAATGAAAGATTCTCCTGCGGTTGCCCCTCTCATCACACTGTCTAAAAGACATTTTTAAATGGAACCATCCTGAAACAGGAGGCAGGGAAGAGGCTGCAGTAGTATCTTCAAACACATGCGAGGTTCTCATGGAGAGCAGTACGCAGCCGGCAGGTTATGCTGTGGCGAGATGGAAGGGGGGTCAGCCTGGGCAAGATCTTTCCAGAACAGCGCTGCACCCTAGGAAATGGACTGCCTCCAAGTAGGGCAAGTCTCAGGCTGAGACAAGTGTGCTAGAAATTCAGGGATGGGGGATGGCAGTGGTGTGAGCTGAAAGGCTGTTGTTTCATTCACTCACTGGGCTGGCATCACCCCTCACATTGAGAAACAGTAAAAACCTCCACACTTCAACTTGGTGTTTTGCAGTTTAGAGCCTTGCTGTGCTGGGGCAGGGGGTGAGCAGGGAATTCGCATAAATTGCCAGGAGCAGCAATCATTTTAGGGGAAGTTGGCAGTATCTATGAACACTTAAAATAGGCACATCCCAACTTCTTGGTTATCTGCCCAGGGAAATCCTGCCCAAGTGCATAGGAAGTATAGTTCTGTTCGTAGCAGCACTTCGTGGAAAGGGACACAGCTGGGGACAGTCAACAGGGCTCAGGCTGAACATTCCCTGGCGCAGTCCCACAGGAGTTAAGAAGAATGCTAGCAGGTACACATGCACTAACATGGTTAATCTCAAAGACACTACTGAGTGAAAGAAGCAAGGCTTAGAAAATGTTTAATGTGACACCACAAACAATGCACAAAGCCAACCACATGCACTGTCATCCCTTGGTATCCCTAGGAGACTGGTTCCAGAACCAAAATCTGCAGATGCTCAACTCCCTCATATAAAATGGCTTGTATTTGCATATAACCTACACATATCTTCCTGTATGCTTTAAATCATGTCTATATTACTTATAATACCAATACAATGTAAACACTATGGAAATAGTTGTGTAGGAAATAATGAATGATAAAGTCTGCATGTGTTTAACACAGAAACAATTTTTCCCAAAGATTTTTGATAGACACCTGGTTGAATCTGCAGATGTGGAACCTGCAGACAGGAGGGTGACTGCACAATTTAAAAACAAGTACCTGTGATTCTATGCATTTGCAGAGGCACAGATCTGGAAGGATGAGCCTGGTAATGGAGGTTACCTCTTGCAGCTTGATAATGGAGGGGAGGTGGAAGGATTGGGGGCTTTGGTCAGAGAGGTCTTGGCCCTTACCTGTGCAATGTTCTGTCTCTCTGTGAGAACCACCTTGTGTCACTAGAAATGGGTTACAAAGCTAATGGTTTGGCGTGTGCGTCTGTACAGCTGACTGAGAAGAGATTCCAGAGCACTTGGCCATCTTACCTGCAGAAGACCTGCAAACTTGACCACTCCCCAGCCAAGCCGGGACACATCAGGCTCCACCAAACTCATCTGGTAAATGTCCACAGCCAGGAAGCGCTGGACCATGCCACCATCCTTGGTGATCACTGTGCATGCGATCAGGTCACTATTATCTGGGAGGAGGGGTCAGAGAACAGAGAGCAGAGAGCAGAGTGAGGCCCAGTCTGGCTACCCAGTCTCAGGGTGATGATCCAGCTGCCTCTTACTCTACTGGGCAGCCTCTTGATCAGGGGTCAGAGCCCAGGCCTAGGGTCACAAAGAACTGGGTCTGAGTCCCTTCTTAGCTAGTTATCCTAGGCAAGTTTTAGCAGATCCTTCTGCTAAAAAACATGGGAATAATGCACACTCTCTCAAGCACAATCTGTTCTAGAAACCATTAGGCCAATGTTCACTGCACATTAGATACTTAAATCATAGCTTAAAAACAAGCAACAGTTGGGGCTGGGAGGGTAGCTCACTGGAAGAGCACCTGCCAAGCATACTCGAGGACCTAGGTTCCATCCCCAGCACTAAAACAACCAACCAACGGCCAAAATCTCAGGAGCCTCAGTGCTCCTTGTGGACCAAAGGCAGTTCACATCACGATGACATTCAGCTAAGAGAAGACAGGAGGACATGAGTCCCCTGCTCTTTGTTATAGTTTTGCCAAGGCCATGATTTGTTGTCTGGCAACAGAGCTCTGCCTAGATGGCGTGGGACCCTGGGCAAGACACTTGGCCCCTCTGAACCATGGTTTTGCACCTGTGAAATGGAAGATCCCTTATCTTTAAGTGTTTGGGGGCAGTAACTAAGAACAGAGAGCAAGAATAGAGATTTAGCATAGAATCTTGGGTGTAGGAGTCCTCAATATCTGCTAAGTCCCTTCTCCTACTTGAAAGTTATCTCCCTACCCCATGTCTCACTTACTGTCTGATCATGATGTCTCTGAAGTCACCTGAGTAACACAGGCCCATCACATCTACAGTCTATTGTAAGTTCCCTCTACCAGGTAAAAAATAGCCAAACAAGGAAACATCCGAGATGTCCCCAAATAGGAGAACAATTTGAATATGATTTTTTTTCCTATCAGATGGAAAATTAAATACCCATGTAAAACTTAGTAACCCAACTATGAACAGTGGTTCCCTGTGGGGAAGGAAGTGAGAACTGGAAAAGTTGAAGAATTGGGGAATCGAGAATTCCTCCCTCCCTCCCTCCTCCCTCCTTCTCTTCCTCCCTTTCTTCCTTTGTCTCCCTCTCCTGTTTTTTGCAGTACTGGAGTTTCAACTCAGGGCCTCACACTTGCTAGGCAGGCACTCTACCACTTGAGTCACACCACCAGCACCACCCCCACCTTTTTCTTGGTTGGGTATTTTCGAGATAGGGTCTCTTGAACTATTTGTCTGTGGCTGCCTTTGAATTTGATCCTCCTGATCTCTGCCTCCTGAGTAACTAGGATTACAGGTGTGAGACACCGTGCCCGGCTCTTTCTCTTTCTTTTATTTTGCAGTGCTGGAGATTGAACCAAGGGCCTTATGTATGGTAGGTGAGTGATCTTCCACTGAGTCACACTCTCAGCCCTCAGGAAAATACATTTCGTTTTTATTTCATGTACTTGAAATTATTCTAAAATAAAAAAGCATTCAAAACATGCTTTTGAAAAGCATATAAAAAGATAAGTTAACAATCTTATTTGTGTGGGATTGGGGTGTGACTAAGTGGCAGAGTGCTTGTGTAGCATGTGCTCCAGGTTCAGTACAGCACTCCCCCCAAAATCTTACCTACATAGAAGTATAATGACAATTTTAAATGCAAAAGAGGACAGAAAATTTAATACAATAAGTTTGATATGTTAAAAAAAAAAGTATTCCTACAACAGAAGTGTAGAGCAACGTGCCAACATATCAACAGAAATCTCTGCTGGGAAGAATGGTAGGTGGTGTGGGCTCCTCCTCACCATTTTAAGGTGCATTGGGAATTTCAGTAAGCTCACAGTTGGGCATTGCTACACTGCAGTAATGGAATACTTCCACCATTGCAATAAGGCCTGTTGGGAGCTCTTGAACTGAATGTTCAATCTGAGTTATATTTACTGGGGGGAAGGAGTAGGTGACACAGGTGGTATGAACACACATGATGATAAACGGGCTCAGCTATACTCCAAGGACCGCCATCATTACTTTTCACTTGACTGAAGGAGGAGAGGAAAATTTCTCCCTTGGCGCCTTTTCTTTAGGGCACCCCAGAAAGATACAGCTCAGTTCAGTCCTCTGAGGGTGTAACCTGCCTGGGATTCTCTTCCTGGAGGTGTTTTTAGTCCACTCACCCTGCCTTCCCAGGCCTCGTGTTCTGTGTCCTCTCTCTAGTGCACAACACTGGGGATGTTTGGGTACCTAGCACCACACATCAAACATGCCCAACTCTCTGCATTTGTATTTTCTTCTTATCTATGGCAAGAAGTTTCTTCTCTTTCCCAACAGTGCAGTCAAGGATCCTAAAATATTTAAACGTACATATTTTATCCAGGATTTTTACTTCCACACTGAATGGCCTTCTTTGGATATCTAGTCTTTTGTATTACCAAAAACAAAAGCCTTCTTATTCATTCTTAGATTTATTATTTTTTTTTTTGGAACTAGGGCTTGAACTCAGGGCCTACACCTTGAGCCACTCCAAGGTGGCTGGTTTTTTTTTTTTTTTCAAGATAGGGTCTCTTGAAGTACTTGCCTAGGCTGGATTTGAACTGCGATCCTCCTGATTTCTGCTCCTGAGTAGCTAGGATTGCAGGCGTGAGCCACTGGCGCCTGGCTAGAAACATTTTCTTTGTGGTAGGTAGGATTTATGGTCTTTACTCAATACTTTAAACATTTTCTCAATGAGAATTTTTTTCTTTCTCAAAATAGAACAAAATTAATAGCTGCCTCTTCTTTCCCTTTCTTTCTCTGCCTCCTCCCTCTCCTACCCTTTCCTTTTTCCCATTCCACCAAGAAGACAACTGGGCTTTCTTTCTTCTATCCTTGCCTGAAGGTTGAACCTGGGAAAGCAGACACAGTCATCATCTGGGTGGATGACTTGGAACTGCTTACTGACTGAGGAGGAGTTTGCTGGCAGGCAACTCGACTCCTTCACAAAGCTGAGCCGCCTTGGGGGCTTCAGGGGAAAAAGATCTATCACATCTGCCACAAAGAACGAAAAAGGAAGGATGAAACCCCAAAGCGGAACAGCTCTCAGAAATGCCATTGACACATCAAAGCCCTGTGAGAACGGTGAGATTTCATGAGAAAGCTAAGATGCAATGTACCTGTGAGGGGCCTCTGCTTTTTGCCAGTCACAGGTAGTTAAGGAGAAATGAAGCAGTGTCCACCGACTCCAAGAGAACAGTGTCCTCAGGGGAGATCAAGGAAATGCTGGTTTGGGGTGACTGCCTTGTGGGCTTCTCAGTATCATGTTAGGGAACTCCTGTACCCCCTCAGCCCTCAGCTGCCCCCCATGCAGGCTGAGGACATTCCTGTGTGGGGCCCTGGGGACCGGCTGATCATGTCTGGATGGTCATGGTGCCTCAGATGCAGAGGGAGCCCAGGAGAGTTCCTGGGACAGAGTCCTATTTTTTGCCCACACTTTCCTGTAGCCTCTGTGTGTGTGGGTATAGATTTCACTGGGAGTCATGCAGGCTGCTGAGGTCCTATGACGGATGTGGGCATGTAGGAGGGACTCAATGGGCAGTTCTGTTGTGGTGGGTGGAAGCCTCAGGAGCCTCCCTGACTGACTGTCAGGAGTGGCCCGTGGCCAGGAGAGGCCTGTGCAGGTGCCAAGGCATGAAGCCCCCTGGCCATCCATCCATAGTGCTTTCCAGATCTCAGTGCCCATCTGAGTCTCCTGGCTCCCTTCCCAACAACTTTAGGGAGAGGGTAGGGCCTAGAATTCTATTAAAAAGTACTGCTAGGGTAGGAGCATGGTGGTACACACTTGTAATTCCAGCTACTTGGGAGGCAGAGGTAGGAGGATCATAGTCTGAGGTTGGCCCAGGCAGAAGCACAAGACCCTATCTGGAAAACAAACTGAAAGTAAAAGGACTGGGGTGTGGTTCAAGTGGTAGAGCACCTGCTTGGCAAGCACAAGGCCCTGAGGTCAATCCTCAGTATCTTGGAGGTGGTTGGGGGAAGCTGCTGAGAACAGAAGATGATAAAGGAGAACAGCCATGTGATCTGAGTGAATGAAGTAATGAATGAGAAGTTTCCCGGACAAGGGGACAGCCAACAGACACACAAAGGTGCTCATCCTCATGAGAAATCAAGAACCAAATCAAAACAGATGCCATCTTCCACCCATGGTGCTAGCAGAACTAAAAATGTCTAAAAACATCAGGTATTGGTGAGGGCCCAGAGAAACTGGCATTCTCAAAAGCTGCTGGTAGAACAATCAGTTAACACAGCCCCGTGAAGGGCAAGTTAGCAATATCTGTTAAAACCGAAAGCCTCACATCCTATGACCGGCAACTGGTACCTTCCTAAGAACAACGCTCAGATGCGTGGGCAAGGGGTACCCACGGGATGCTGAAAGCAGCTTTTGGGTCTGTGGGAACCCAAATGTCAGCAATAAGGGACAGCCTGAAGAAGATGTGTTGGTTCATTCAGAGCAAAACTGTAGCACTAACAAGGAATGAATTAGCTCTCCTGATATTTCAAGAGGGACAAGTCTCAAGAACGTAAGTGGAAAAAGCAAGTTGCAAGGCAATTTTAGTTTACGTGTAGTGTTCTGATTTTCCAATGGGAAAACAGGTATGTTATTTGCATACTTAAAACTGAGTAAAGAGAAAAGGGACTCTCTCTACATCCTAACAAAAAGGACCTTAGGTCCTTTTGGGGACCAGTTTGGGAGGGGCAGCAGCCCTTGGCCAAGTTGCTGGCCAGTCTAGCCAGCAAGATCACAAAAGCAGTCGACAGACTGGTGATGGCAAGAAGCTGAGAGCTCTCTAATGGTACCCTCGGTTCACAGTTGTGACGTTTCTAAAACAGCCAGACCTGGGAGTGCAAGAGCTCTGGTGTCTAGTTCAACCCGCACATGCAGTCCAAGTGCCCACTCAGGGCTAGGTCCCGTGCTTGCCAGGCATAGGCAAGACTGACAGTGAGGTGTG